AAATTCCCTATCACAATCTCCTTTTTACAGCAGAAACCGTTGCATCGCGACTTCAATGTTCAAAGGAAATAGTTGGGATTTAAGTTTTTCTGCGACTTGGGGGCGGAGCTTGATACTAATCAGCCAATGATTGAACGAGTTTTCGAAAATCTCCGCCCCTCAGATTGAAAGAAAGAACAAAATCCAGACAAACTTCAAAACAAAAGAGGTCGCGATGCAACGATTTCCGCTGTAACTCAAAGATTGCGAAAAGCAATCGAAGAGTTATAGGAGGGAGATAGATGATGTGTGTGAGGTGGACTAGTTAATAAGTCACTATATTTTTCCTGTAAACATACGGGTATTTTTTCCTGTAAACATACGGGTATTTTTTCCTGTAAAAATACGAGCATTTAGAAATCCGCAACAAAGATGGCGGGCGACTCGGTGTTTTGGTACAGGAATGGCCTCTAAACACGTGTGTGCTACGTCATTTTGCACTAGTGCACTCTCAAGCGATAGTCCGCTGTCTAAGAGCCATTGGGGGACTCTGGGCTCGTGATCGACAGTCTTGTGTCAAACATTTCGATGGGTCCCCTCCCACAAGAACAAAGAAGTTTATATTCCAAGTAGTAAATGTGGGTTTCCTGTGGTACAACTTTCAAAATGGCGGCCAAANGCAGTATTTGTTGGATTCTGTGGGATGGAGAAACGCATTCCGCCTTCAAGCAGCTGTTTTAGTTATCTCAAGCCTACTCTGTTTGATGTACAGTCCCAATGTGGAAAATGAAAAACATGACAATCAAGATGCCACTGAAAAATCGAAAGAGGACGGCGTTGTCAATGAAGGTGCTATAAATGAGGATCATGAAGAAAGTGCTGGTTTTAACATAAGCGGCTGTGCCCACAAAAACCAAAAGAATGATATCGTCCAGCAATCGGAACACATTCAAAATCAAAGCAAGGATAAAGAAGTAAACSGTCTGGAAGAAAAGCACCAAGAGACCCATGAAAGMATCAGTGAAGATGGAYGCCAWYCAGAAATACRAAGAGAAAAGGGTGACATTGAGGAMAATGCARCACAACTTGAAGATCACACTGTGGAAAACATCGCCACTRAAAAYCCATGTAAAGTTCGCAAGGTTTTCAGTTTAAAAGCTATGTTTGATTTATCCGTATGGAGAGTTCCAATGTTCACCGTGTTTGTTATTTCAAATTGTCTTGCCTCATTCTCGTTGTTCAGTATCACTGTTCACTTGGTGAGTTTMWTATTATATATACTGCACTTACATTGACTATTGGGAGAGTTGTCTTAAAATGAACAGATTTTATTCTTTTTTAACAAACTACAAGAAGCTCCATTTCCGACGTCTTCATGTCATGAGTGACATCATAAAAAACAGTTTATTTAATATGCGAACTTGAATATTAATATATTTAAATTTATTATAAATTCAATTGAGAACGTTGTCAGCGACATGGAAACGTAATCAATTGAGCACTATGTCGTTTCTTGTTGCAGTGACATGCTCGAAACAACAATACGCACTTTCCTTCTCGTGAACGTGCTTTAACTCACGGTAATGAACCTATTTTCTTTCAGGTSAAGTTTTCAGAAGAGGTAGGATTATCGGCCACAAGTGCATCCAGCTTATATACCTTCTTTGGTTTGGCATCGTTAATGGCAAGGATCGTCGCTGGTAAACTCTGCGACATATCWTGCATTAAACCCAATATGGTTAATATGGTRTCAGAACTGATTGSTGCTATGGCTACATTTCTTCTAACTCTTAGCACAAGCTATGTTCATCTAGCAATCTTGATATTCATGTATGGATTTGCTGATGGYATGTTTCGAACAACCACTATTGTGCTTTTAACAACTACTGTGGAAAGATCAAAGTCTAGCTCAGCGCTTGGCCAAGGAAATTCTATTGTCGCTCCTTTTTTTACTGCTGGTCCAGCTATCACAGGTAAAATATACTAAATTAATACGGAAAGACTCGATACCAAACAAAACGTGTTAGAAATGCAAAGGTCCATTCCGGGCCAGAAACTAAAGTCGCCGTAAGGGGAATCCAGTGAAAATTGATAAGATGACTTCCGTGCCCGGAGTAGAACTCTGCAAGTTTGCCGGCCCAAAAAAGACGACTAAGGAGACCCTGCCTCGTCTCTTACACTAAGTTCGGGATTTGACCTAATATGGTATTAAACATCTGCCCTAATATGGTTATTGGTATTAATCGTTTGATCTAAAAAGGCGCTAACGAAATGTTGATACCAAATTTTATACACATGCAGGACTAATTCAACATCGAAATTATAACGTCAAATTTATGTTTACTTAAGTTTCTGCTTAGGACTTCTAAAAACATTGCACTTGTTTTTGCTCAGGGYTACTTGCAGATGATTTCGGAGAATACACCAAGGCCTTCTATGTCAATGGATGTGTTCTTATTGCATCAGCCGCTGTACACCTAATACCGATATTGTTTAGGTGCCGTCAAACTTCAAATAGCTTTACTTTGGCTCACGTTGAGATGAGTCCTGTTCAAGACAACTGTAATGCAAATGATAACCAAGTTGCTATGCAAACATCAAAGACAAATCCTAGTTTTACCGCGGATTGTTGAAATCTTAATGAATTAGTGACTTGCTTATTTATTGTCATAGATAGATACGATACAGATAGGGATGTGAACACTGGCAGATAGATCGACAGTGTTTTAGAAAGTATTAATAATAATTTTCATCTCATATCAAATGGAAATCATCAAATGATCAGTTACATGTATGAAACAAAAAGAAGAAGAGTCATTTTGATAAAGATTACCCTTTACTTGTACTGACAATAAAATGAAAATCCACTCCCGATTTTTTTTACAAATTCCCTATCACAATCTCCTTTTTACAGCAGAAACCGTTGCATCGCGACTTCAATGTTCAAAGGAAATAGTTGGGATTTAGGTTTTTCTGCGACTTGGGGGCGGAGCTTGATACTAATCAGCCAATGATTGAACGAGTTCTCGAAAATCTCCGCCCCTCAGATTGAAAGAAAGAACAAAATCCAGACAAACTTCAAAACAAAGAGGTCGCGATGCAACGATTTCCGCTGTAACTCAAAGATTGCGAAAAGCAATCGAAGAGTTATAGGARKGAGATAGATGATGTGTGTGAGGTTGACTAGTTAATAAGTCACTATTTTTTTCCTGTAAACATACGGGTATTTTTTTCCTGTAAACATACGGGTATTTTTTATTGTAAAAATACGAGCATTTAGAAATCCGCAACCAAGATGGCGGGCGACTCGGTGTTTTGGTACAGGAATGGCCTCTAAACACGYAAAATGTGATTTTTGAGGTCAGGACACCTTATACCGATATTGTTTAGGTGCCGTCAAACTTCAAATAGGTTTACTTTGGCTCACGTCGAGATGAGTCCTGTTCAAGACAACTGTAATGCAAATGATAAGCAAGTTGCTGTGCAAACATCGAAGACAAATCCTACTTTTATTGAGGATTGAAGATGATAATGGATTAGTGACTTGCTTATTTATTGTCATAGATAGATACAATACATATATGTTGTTTACCGGCTGGGAGGTCCGTTTATAGGAAAACACTGCCCGAGGTCTTTGACAGTACGGAACGAGCGCAGCGAGGTCCGTACATAAAAGACCGAGGGCAGTGTTTCCATATACGGACCGACCTATAGCCAGTAAATAACATTTTTATTTTTTTATTTGTATTTTATGTAACTTTGCTCGCAATCWAGCGGCAGGATACCGTGGACCGGGCAGATCATGAAAAACCGGACCGCGCGCTAACCAATCACAGCGCGCGAGTGACTAGGGTACGGGACCGMAAAATATRAATAGGGATATGAACACAGGCAGATAGATCGACAGTGTTTTATAAAGTATTAATAATTTTCATCTCATATCAAATGGAAATCAATGATTAATTAATGTAACTGATCAGTTACATGCATGAAACAAAAAGAAGAATTTTTATAATTTTGATAAAGATTACACTTTACTTGTACTGAAAATAAAAAGAAAATCCACTCCCTTTTTCAATTCCCTTNCCTCTAAACACGCAAAATGTGATTTTTGAGGTCAGGACACCTTATACCGATATTGTTTAGGTGCCGTCAAACTTCAAATAGGTTTACTTTGGCTCACGTCGAGATGAGTCCTGTTCAAGACAACTGTAATGCAAATGATAAGCAAGTTGCTGTGCAAACATCGAAGACAAATCCTACTTTTATTGAGGATTGAAGATGATAATGGATTAGTGACTTGCTTATTTATTGTCATAGATAGATACAATACATATATGTTGTTTACCGGCTGGGAGGTCCGTTTATAGGAAAACACTGCCCGAGGTCTTTGACAGTACGGAACGAGCGCAGCGAGGTCCGTACATAAAAGACCGAGGGCAGTGTTTCCATATACGGACCGACCTATAGCCAGTAAATAACATTTTTATTTTTTTATTTGTATTTTATGTAACTTTGCTCGCAATCWAGCGGCAGGATACCGTGGACCGGGCAGATCATGAAAAACCGGACCGCGCGCTAACCAATCACAGCGCGCGAGTGACTAGGGTACGGGACCGMAAAATATRAATAGGGATATGAACACAGGCAGATAGATCGACAGTGTTTTATAAAGTATTAATAATTTTCATCTCATATCAAATGGAAATCAATGATTAATTAATGTAACTGATCAGTTACATGCATGAAACAAAAAGAAGAATTTTTATAATTTTGATAAAGATTACACTTTACTTGTACTGAAAATAAAAAGAAAATCCACTCCCTTTTTCAATTCCCTTTATTATATTTCGACCGACGTTGTCTCCATCCCCACTCCAACTCCCTTTTTTCTCCATGGCCAATCTTCATCGCCTTTCAAAACAATGTGTAGTATTTCCATTGTAGTTGCTAGCTTTAGATATTGTTCTTTCTATTTAAAGTAATATTTGTACAGGTAATTCCTACTTTTTGCATAGTATTTTAAATGAGCTGCCATGACGGAATATATGGAAAAAACGAGATCAAATTTTGAATACAATTTTTGATTGGGGAACTTCTCAGGCCTTCTGAGTTAAAAGGTTACCTTGATTTAGTTGATTGAGTACTGCTRGACCTCTTTTTTGCTCTTCCCATGGCCAGCTAACCAAGCTTTCTCGACTCTGKCCCTAATCAAGATTATGGCCCATCTTAGCAAATCTTCTTTCCCTTCTTTCCCTTCTTTCACAATTCGAACGGGGTTGGATCTTTTATAATTTCTCACTCGAAGTCGTTATCATTGCCATACTGCGTTTCTCCCTTTCACATGATTTAAAAACACTCGGAAAGGAAAAGCACAGCGTGACCCACACTTATAGCGAGGAAGACAAGTAACTTAAATCCAAGCATGTATTGTTATTTGACCTTTCAGTTTGTGACATAGCAGAATTTAAGTAAATAGCGTGTTACAAAGGCCATGTATTTGAAACGTCATAATCAAGGTATCACGAGTCAATTTCTACTCACTGTTTGATTGTATTTTCACTGTTTGATGAGTTTTACTTGGTTTACACTTCGTCTTTACCAGCTGTCGGCAGTGGTTYTGTCATTTTGACTGGCAGGACTAGTTCACACAAACTGTCTCAGCGTCTAGAGATTCATTGCGGTGAGCTTTCGTGGTTGAAAAGTGCAACTCTTTGTGGAACTTGAGAACAAAGCCGATTACAACAGTAGCCGCTATTGTTGTGGCAAGGTTAGTATATGGAAAACGGTACTAAAATTGCACCACATTTTGCTTGATTTAGTCTTGAAATCGATCCGGCGTTTAAAGTTGGTCGTAGACATGGCACGATATTATGTAATATATACAATATGAGCGGGCGATCTGTATGTAATATACAACTCTCTTCATGGGCTATGATTTCTATTGTGTTTTGCCTTATGAATATTAATGAGTTTTATAAATATATATATCGACCATTTTTCATTCAAAATAAGTGAAGCTTACAAAGAAGTCATGATCGCGTTAGTTAWGTCGAGAAAGCTGAATAATGACCCATAGAATGGCTACTTGGGAAAGATTGTCTATTATTACTACATGACATACCTAGCGTGACATCAACAATAGCTATTCTATTTGCCCTTGTCATATTCATTTAAAAATGCTAAACACTGTACAGTAACCACTTTGTATTTCTGACTTTTCTTGAGATCGATTCAGTACTATGTGCAGAG